GAATATAGCGAACCAGACTAAAACTGGACCTCAGTGATTCTATGCTAAAATAAAAAATAAATAAAATTTGTTTATATATATAATATAAAATATTTACTTATGTTCTATCCCTGTTTTGGGACATTTAACCTAGAAATTTATCATGTCTTAAAACTATATTTTATTTTATCTATATATATATATATATATATATATATATATATATATATATATATATATATATGGCTGAGCATGTTTCTCTTTTTCGTGTCGCTTTTTATTTCTAATTAATTTTTAAGTTTTTTATCAACTCTCCCTGTCTCCGCTCTGCCATCCAACACCGACTTCGGAATAGTTTATTTGCGTATATATACAGTGACCCCCCGCCACATATCTAGTTCAACTCCTCTTCGAGAGTCAAAGCTCATGATAAACTTCGCACTAACGGGGTGCATATTCAAATGTTTCGTGAAAATCATCTGCTATATACATAACTAAATTCTAGTCCTATGAAACACAAAACTTAAAATGTATGTACCACTTAAAAAAATGTGTTTAAACATAATAATGTACATCAAAAGACTGGTTTGTCCTGTTTCACACAAAATTTGATGCTTGGATTTGTCATCCATTGTAATTCTAGCACAACGTTACAGAACTTTAAGGTAATATTTTGATATAATACAACAGAAGGAAGGTTATCGGTAGACTGACTCAGTAGGCCTGGTACCAATGAGAATTAGCTCTGCGTGCGCTCTACTCTTGAACAGTACAATCGCAGAAAATATAATCCAGGATTTACTCATCATTACTTATTTACTTATCATTTGTACACACACACACACACACACACACACACACACACACATACATACATGCATACATACATACATAAAAGTATGTGTTTATATGTATGTATATATGTATGAATATACTCGTATGTCACTATCTCGTATCCAAGAATTTAATTTCTTCTTTACTGATCGCTTCCTTTATGATGATGACTAAATTCACCGCCAATGAGCATGTTCAGGACCAGAAGCTTTCACTTTCACCAAAATATACCCCCCCCCAATCATCCATTCCCTATCGCCGTTTGTCTTTGCAAGATTTGGTCGGAGGTGAAAGAATATCAGAGTAGAAGAAAGTGCCGATGGATTGAGTTTGTTTAAGGTAGACCTCGACTTGACAGGATGTGACGATATTTAGTCACCCCCCCGCCACGAGGGTGTCATGTGGCACAAGGCCTTTTTAACGTGGGCATTCCCGAGCCATTAGGCTCGGCAAAAAAATACCCATTTGAACCCGTATAAACGGGTTCAGGGCCGGTTTTACCTCCCCGAAGGAGACTCCGCCCTTCGGCGTAGCCTCCTTCGGGTTCCTCCCGCCCGTAGGAAGAGAGTTGAACCGAACACTCGCTCAGAAAGTGAGCGAGTGACAGGATGTGACCCATACACTAGACATGATATTCCTCTGCAGCACAAATGGAATGAGATAGACAGAATCCAATTATGAAAGGGCAACGGACTTCCACTGACTCTGCTATAAGTTCGAGTGGCGCCTTCTGTAACATGTCTATCATGCGTAGCACTCTTAAACCGCTGGTTCAACCCTTTAGATCTGTTGTAATCATCATCCCCCCTCGGGATCTTTAGAGTTGGTTGCGGTTAGTCTGTGACCTCGTCTTTGACTTTGCCACCAAGGGTAGCCCTATCAGGAGTTTAGAACCCACGACACTATCACTCTCAGAGTCATTGGATCACGAAAGCATCCCCACCACGACAAGGAGCGTCTATTAGCGGACTCGTATGTATGTATGTACTAAGCAGTTTCTATATGGTGAATTAGCTGAAGGAAAAAACCAACGCACAAGACCAAAGTAGTACATAAAAATTGCATCAGGAACACATTAAAGAAGGCCAATATAATGCAAATTTATTCAATTATTTGGGAAAACATAGTTCTAGATCGTTCATCCTGGAGGGGATCAGTGCCCAGTGGCAAGAGGATTCATACAGAATCGTGTCCCACATAAAAAAAACTCCAGTGATTTTCCAAGCGTAGTTTAGATGTAGCACAAGGCCGAAAGTTGGAGACACCCATTGAGGATCGAACTCGCTAATCAGTCGTAATTGTTCTTGCGAGACAAGCTTGCTAACCATTCCACCGCCTTGGGGTGACCTAAAGACTCAAGAGATAAACACGAAAGGGTCTTGATCTTAATTTTCTTGAACATGATACTACAATTTTGATCCAACATCAGACTTAAAAAAAACCGCAAAGACACCACACACTGAAAGAAGTCATTCTTTACACGTTGGGCGGCAATAACTGCAAAAGGCTCCCAGCGGGGCCCCTTTTACAGAAAACGAATCTTTATTTAATCCCTAGGAGCGGCCTATGTATGAGGGTTATTCAAGCGATGGTCTTGTCAGATATCCTGTCGCAGGCATTATATACTCGTTCAGAATACAAATGAAGTTTTAATATCAGCAACTATGAACATGGTCACAATATACTGGTCATATTCGGAAGATAAAAATATGTCAAATTTTCACCAATTCACATGCCATTTACTATATCAATAACATAGCATTTATGATAGTTCAACGCAAATCATTGAGAATGGCTAAAAGATTAACCGAAAGCGCTTGGAAGGAACAAACATTTGCTCAATTTCTACACACATTAAATCTCAAAGGAGAAACAATTCATCCGCACACGAGAAAGTAAAATAAAACCTTAAAATAAATAATTTTCAATTATTACTTTATTAAAATGCGGATTTCTAATTGGAGAGGGATTGATGTACAAATCCACATTTCTCTATTTCTCTCTCTCTCTCTCTCTATATATATATATATTGATAGATTGATAGATAGATTTTGAGGAAAAAAATATGTCCTATATATACCTCAAAGAAATATCTCTTACTGTCTTACCATTATGTGACAGCAATATGAGAGAGAAAGCGCAAATTTTTGGGGTCGTAATGTGGATTTTTAAAAAAAATATATTATGCTTATCTCTCTCTCTCTCCCCCTCTCTCTCTCTCTCTCTCCCTCTCTCTCTCTCTCTCTCTATATATATATATATATATATATATATATATATATAGAGAGAGAGAAAAAAGTTGCAAATTAAAAAAATAATAATGTTTTTACGAAAGTATTTATTTATTTATATATATTTGATATTTAAGATCGACCTCGATCTTACTTCAGATGAAAGATCGAGGTCGATCTGAAATATCAAATATATATAAGTAAATAAATACTTTCAAAAAAAAAACATTATTATTTTTTTAATTTGCAAGTTTTTTTCTATATATACATATTATGAAAGTATAAGTGGCTTCTCATTATGCTATATATATATATATATATATATATATATATATATATATATATATATATATATATATATATATATATATGTGTGTGTTGTGTGTGCGTATGTATATACGTGTGACTGCTTTGATATATAAATAAAGATATATATATATATATATATATATATATATAGATAGATAGATAGATAGATAGATAGATAGATAGATAGATAGGTATATATGTATGTAACAAATATGAACATACGCATTGTTAGAAGAACAATAAAAACTTTCTGCTTATTTTTTTTTCAAATGTACGGATATCCTTGCATAAATGTAGTATTTTGGTGTGGGTCAATTGGCTAAATCTTTGGTTTTGCTGTCCCAATTTTTTGAATCGCATGAATTATGATCGGGGTGCGGAGTAAGAAAATAAAATCAGGTTTTAAGAAGTCTGTATCCTTATCACTAGGATGACTTTTTGATACTAATTTCACCCAGTACAAGGCCAAAGAGCCACTCAATGTAGAGAGTTAAGAAAAGACAAGTAGTGAGTTCCATGTAGCTATTCAGAAAAGATAAAAATAATCCTATACTTGAAGACATCACGATTGTAGTGATTGAGAAAGCATCCTCTCGGGAGTCTGTTTCACGAAGCAGTTGTTTTTCGGAAGAAACTTTCTTGCTAATGGAATACGAAGGGAACGCGGATAATTCTTCCTTGTATACGTGGCATGGCGGGACCCAGTTGCAATGGTGACGGCTGGTGAGACCAAATAATGTCGCTCGCCATGGAAATAACAATAGAGTAGAAAGAGACATGTAATGTTTCCTCTGTGAGTAACCGCTTGTAGGGTGTAAAACAAGTAATCACCCACAAGGCCGCATAGTCGTTTTTGAACTCTATCAAGACAGGGAAGTGAGGACTCGTCAACCCAGCCCAGATATGGTAGGTCTGATCCCATGTAAAGATAGACTATAGCAGGATGGAGTCAGATACTGACTCTTGTACATGGAACCAACATTTTTCCAGCAATAGATCGGATATATGCTCCACTTGCGGACAGGGGTAAGTTTGGGGTAATACAATATGATATGAATTTTAACCAAATTATCCACACACAATTACCTCTGTGCGAAATGATACGCGTACATTAGAAAATAGATCTTTTAAAAATATAGATACTAAATATCTATTGTTTTGAATGTTTAACATTTATTACTCAAACATGTAACTAATAGATAGATAGATATGAACAGTCTGAGATATATATATAGATAGATAGATAGATAGATAGATAGATAGATAGATAGATATAGATATCAGCAGACTGAGATAGATAGATAGATAGATAGATAGATAGATAGATAGATAGATAGATAGATAACCGTATATATATATATATATATATATATATATTCAAAATATAACCAATCAAACACAACGAGATACTCAGTGATATGCTATAAACAACTTAAAAACGTCATCTATTTTGTTGCAAAATAAAAATCTATACACATTCAATCAGAGAATGAACAGATCTTTGTATGTGCTTATTTGATGTTAAAGATATGGCTTTAAAATATTCAATAAGAAAATATATTTCTTTGTAACTATAGGCAAAAATTCATATTATTGTTTATCATATATATATAAAAGGGTTATAGATATGGATATAGATATATGCAGATGTTCATTTTTCCTCATCACTTTAGTAGCATTGAAATTCTTACATTGATTATTTGCTTTTTTCAGCTCTTTTCTTTTTTCATCTTTCTTCTTTTTTATCTGTCATCATTTTCCTTTTTTTCTCTTTTTTCATTTCTTTACTATTTTCTTTTTAATCTCTTCTTTCTCCTTTTTCTTTGCTATCACTTTTTCTTCGTTTACTTCTCTTCTCTTTATTCTTTTCCATTTCTTTTCTAATACATTTTCTTCTCTTATTTTAGCATTTTTCATTCTCATTAGATACTTTCTACTTATCACGAGTCACTCGAGTTAACATAGCTTGAATAACAATTACATTAAAAATAATCATAATCATAATAAAAATATGGACGAACACGATAACATTCCTTGATTTCTTCTTCTTCTTCTTCTTCTTCTTGTTTTCATCCTTTTTTTTCACCAAGTTATACTTCATTCTCTCCCCTTCTCGTTATTTTTCTTTACCACCTCTTTTACTTCATTCTCCCTCTCTCCATCTTGTTTTCTTTTTCCGCTCTAACTTCATTCTATTTCCATCTCGTTATACTTTTCCCGCATCTTTTACTTCATTCTCTATCTATCTATCTATCTATCTATCTATCTATCTATCTATCTATCTCCTTCTCGTTATTCTCTTTTCACCCTCTTGTACTTCATTCTCTCTCTCTCTTTATCTCTCTCTCTCTCTCTCTCTGTCTGTCTGTCTATCTATCTATCTATCTATCTATCTCCTCCTCGTTATCCCCTTTTCACTCTCTTGTACTTTACTCTATCTTTTCTGTTCTTTATCCTCCAATAATCCCTCTTTATCTATCTATCTATCTATCTATCTATCTATCTATCTAACTTTGTCCTTCTTGCGATCCATCTTCTCCTTTGCTTGACATTTTTTTTACATCATGGTTTGCCGTATTATTCATAATCTCATTTCATTCCCCTCCTCCTCTCGGTTCGTATTGCTACCGTTGATAATACTGCGGTGATTATAATTGTTGCCGTTATTTCAGATCATCATCATCATCATCATCATCATCATCAATCTTCTTCTTCTTCTTCTATCACTACTTATGTCGAATGTTTTCTATTCAAAACTAGAAACATCCAAAAAAGCATGCATAACAGCCAAATCCTGCCTTGCCTAAGTGAAATGCTTCATCGACTTCTTCTATTATTGGCTAATTGAAAAAGCTCAGCAAAGTTGTACACAAGAAAAGGCAAGATAAACAGAAAAGCCCACAAAAGCGGCTCATAGAGACATAAACATTGAAATTATGTATGTTAGCGGTGTACCTTTTCATTCGGCTGTCGACAATCAATGCCACAACGTAGATAGAATCCCCAACGGGGGACCGTTTGTAGAGAAATGAGAAGATGAAGGCAGAGTGATACACTCCAGGGAGATTTGCGAGGAAAGAAGTAGAATTAACGGAAAGAAAATGGTAGGGGCTGGGGGTTGGGAGGAATTCATCGTAAACTACATCAACAGACGGGGTTCTCAGGAGTATACACGTATATGTCAATTACGTTTATCTTTGCTACGGCAGCTGTGTTTGCCTGGTGAAAAAGAAAGAGAAAAGATCGAGAGAAAAAGAGAATCAAATAGATTTAGGGAGTGGGAGAACTATAATTCGGCAAGGTGAGAATTAGACTTTATTATTTTCTCCATGAAACAGACGCATTGAAGTGTCTTAACTTTTCAAGCCGCTGGCGCAATTGTTCCGCGCGGTATATACAAATCGAATCTTGTTGATAAATCCGGTTCAATAGAACACAATGTTCCGCCATTGATTGGTCCGTGTCAACACTGAGATAGACAGAGGTTAGGTCAAAAGTCAACGTTCATTTCTTTAATAAAAGTCTATCTCTACTTCTTCGCGCGGTTATTTATTTATAGTTACCTAGACACACACACACACACACACACATATATATATATATATATATATATATATATATATATATGTATAATAAAAAGGCTTAAACACTAATATTCCATGGTCATAATTTATTTCATTGGAATCGTAAATACGATCCAATTCATCAGACCAACAAATTCAAAAAGAAAACAGAAAAAACAACTCCGTAAATAAAAAAAAATAGAAATTAGAGAGTGTAAGTATGAGAGTGTGGGACGAATGTTAGAGCTAAAGAGAGGGTAACAGATAAGAGAAGGTGGGTATTAAAACTTATATACATTTTGCATATGTATGTGTATATTTACCACTAATATTATATATATATATATATATATATATATATATATATATATATATATATATATATATATGATAGAAATTAGGAGTATTTGAGATAATTAATTATCATTATCTCAAATTCTCCTAATTTCTCTCACTTGTATATCCTTGCTTGAACTGGCTTCCATTGCTCTGGATGGAGTGGCTTGGAGATAGTAGCCGTGGCTAGTGTGGCAAAAAGATCAAAGAGAAACTCGGATGAGTTCCACCACGTAATATGTGATCGAGCGGCGCTATATAGAGTCTGATTTGCTACGTCACCGAGGCCCGTTGGAACAGTTGGTATGACGTTTGCCCTAAAACGTAACTGTCCGGGTCTCAATACTCTGTATTGGATGATCGCTGCTGATGTGTCCCAAAATATAGGACAGTGCTTTCTGTTGACGTTATTTCTAGACTCGATGAATTTCTTAATTATAAATGTAATAATTTCTATCACACACACAAGCATTATTAGATGGATTTGAGATAATCATAGTTATGTAATTCCTCGAGTCTAGAAGAGATCTCAACAGAATGCAGAAAGCACTCGGCAAAAGTTTCGTCCTATATTTGAAACTCCTCGGCAGTGTGCATCCACGGTCGAGAACTGAATCAGGACCGATACGACGCAAGCAGCGTACCAACGGGCCTCGCTGACGAAAAGGTAACGAATTAGTCTCGATATAGCGCCGCTCTTCACAAATTCCGTGCTTTAACTCATCCGAGTTTCCTTTACCCATAGGACTGTGCCCCCACGAGCCACAACTACTAACCCCAAGGCGCTCCATTGATCGATATATATACAGTAGCGGCCATAATATAAGGAACAGAAATATTTCCATTCTTCCATTTAATCTTTATTTAAAGAAAACTACTATGTAACTTTTTGTAACTTTGTATAATATTTATGCATTACACCCTAATCTTTATTCGGTAAAAATGTCATTGCCAATCCTGCATTACTTTTTAAGTAATACACATATTTATGTCTTTGTTGTTTCCGTTCCTTATATTATGGCCGCTACTGAAGATACGGAAAGGTTGATTGATATTGAGGCTGCGGTAATCGGTTGATTCCCTGAATATATATATATATATATATATATATATATATATATATATATATATATATATATAAATAAAATAAAATAAAATAAAATAAAAAAGGTGATTAAACTGCAGAAAAATGAATGAAAAAAAAAAAATCTTATTTTTAAAATCTTTCAAAGCCTGTGGTGAAGGGTGAAAGAAATCAGATCTGCTTGTTTATTTCTATAGAAATGGACATTGCTTGCTTTGACATTTAATTTTAATACATTTTTTTTTAACTTTTTATAATCTTTCTCTTTGCTTCGACTTCAGTGTCTCTTCTTCTTCAGGGGGAAACCCATTTGGATACTCAGAAAATAAAATAAAGGTGATTAAACTATATATATATATATATGTGTGTGTGTGTGTGTGTGTGTGTGTGTGTGTGTGTTGATGTATTAGGAAAGAACAGTTAGATTAATTAATTCTTTATATTCTTTATGTTTTTATTTTTTTAAAATAGTGCTCGATACAGATGTATAGCTTAAATCATAATTATTTTTCTTTTAAATATGATCCCATCGCGTCACAGAAATCACTATGTTTCGAAACTTGATTCAAGTACTAAAGTTTAATTTCAATATTAAACTTAAAATTTGGAGTGTTTTCTTCCCAAGTGATGTTTAGAATAACTAAATGAAGAAATGTCTTATTTAAATTTATTTCTGGTAATAATTTTTTACAAAGTATTTCTGGTATTAAAACCTATTTTTACACTTTCATAAGGCTTTTTACTTCAGTTTCGGGGTTAACTATTTGTCCATAGCTGGGACCCTAACAGGTGCTACCACACCGGCTCAGGGTGGACCTGGGAACACCAGCAATTAAGAGGTGGTTCCACGCTCCTCAAAACCTCCTGATCAGAGGATCTGCTGTTGGACGTAGTTTATCGTCTTACCCTGAACGCGGATATAGTTTATCGTCATACCCCCGGACGGCATATATATATATATATATATATATATATATATATATATATATATATATATATATATATATATATATTAATTGGTATCAGCCCAGCAAGGTAGTACAGCCACTAACACGTAAGAGATTACAGGTTGTGGAGGAAATAGGAATAGAAAAGTTAATAATGAGTAGAAAAAAGAGCAATCACGAGGACAGTAAAAAACGATTGTCATTGGATTTAAATCTTTGCAGAATAAAGTTGGCTGGAAAGCATGGAAGGGGAAGAGTGTTCCACAGACAAGAAATGCGAAAGAAGAAACTGTCTGCATAGAAGTTACGGCTACATCTAACTAGATCAACTCTAAATTGAGATCTCGCCACCAGTTTATTATTGCGCTTAATTTCATACAATCTAGGTACCATAGCGAAGATCTCATCCGAACAATTACCATGAAATTATTTATAAAAACTGTATATAGAGGCAACCTTACGGTGGTCGGAAAATGACTGCACCCGTCAGATCAGGACCAATTATATTGCTGATTCTTCTTTGGATTTTTTCAAGGAGCTCCAGATAAATTACGGCGGCACTGCACCATATATGGCAGCAATATTGTAAGCATGGATGAATAATAGACTTATAGATATGCAAGATAGATTCCGGAGAGTGTCTCGCCCGGCACAGTGAACCAACTTCCTTAGTAGCTGACTTTGTAATGGATTCAATACAGTTTTTCCACATCATGTCAGCCGAGAACGTTAGCCCGAAAGGCACGAGTCACTTTAATGGAGGATAGCATCAGCCTTACTGATGGAAGGCAGAGAGGGGTCTCTCAGATGATTAATGGAGAGAAGTTTAGTTTGAGAAACGTTAAAATTGACAAACCCTCTTCGGCCCCATTTAACGACGGTCTCGAGGTCCATTTGAACATCAGCTGGCATTTTTATCTTGCCGGACTGATCAGCCTTACTATCGAGACAGGAGTAGGACCAAGGATGGAGCTCTGAGAGACATCCACGTTGACAGGAACGACTGGACCAGTTCAAAATTGCGCCCGGAGATACTGTAACTTTTCAGCTTGTGGAGAAGACCTGAATATCAGACCCTGTCAAAGGCTTTTGAGATGTCCATTGCTACAGCTCGGGCTTTACCGTTTTAATCTAGAGTATGATAGACGCGCGCATACACACACACACACACACACACACACACACAAACAAACATACATATACATACACACACATGTATATGTGTGTGTGTGTGTGTCAATTATTTTCAGATAAAGTGTATGTGTAAAGGAACAAATGGAATAAATGAGACAAGAGGAAAATCTATTCTTATCCGACGCATTTCATCCTCTGACGGGCAAAATATATATATATATATATATATATATATATATATATATATATATATATATATATATATATATATATATATATATCTGTAGAGTGCTTCCTAACGGGTCGGTCCTTGAAGGTCGTTGTCAATGGTCAGTCCTCCAGATCCTAGCAATCAATGCAGACGCCCCGCAGGGATCACCTCGGGCAAACCCTCTTTTTATTTTACATAAATGATCTGTCTAAGAGTATACTCTGATTATGTGTGAATATCTATGCCGATGATACAACGATAGATGGGTTTACCGATAAAATTCGTTATGAGCAGAGATTGACCCCTGTTCTATCATCCTATCTCTAAGTTCTCAGTGCGGGAAAAATTGCTGGTTACATTCAATGCCTCGAAAACCGAGCTAGTTACAGTCCATCATCGTCAATCGGACCCCGACCTGCCACTAGTCATGATAAATAGATGTTCCCTCAGGGAGGCTCCGTGACTTGAGAGACTATTGGACTTCAAATTCAACCCAGACCTTAAGTTGAACTCGTACATATGACCCATCGCTAGAGACGCAGGAAAAATAGTCGATTCCCAGTACCGCTCCAGCATGTATCTGATTCCTTGTGTTATCCTCTACCTTTACAAGAACCAGATCAGGTCTAAAATGGAGGAGTGCTATCATATTTGTTCTCACTTTCCAGTTTCGATAGGATCCAATAGCGTCTCTGCGTCCTTGTGGGTGATAAATTATTTTCCACCTTACAACCCTTTCTCACAGACAAAGATGTAGCAAGCTATATTGTTACTTCCATGGAAAGTGCTAGGACGAACTGCATGTCTTGGTTCGCACAGGTCTAACATTCATGTCTTAGGACCCGCCATGTCACTTACTTGTTAGCAAACCATCTACATTCCCTCCGTATTCAGTCGTCGAGAATTAAGTTCCACTCAAACAGCTTCTTCCTGTGAACCATTCATTCTGTGGAACCGACTCCCTAGACATTTTCCCAATCACAACAAACCCAACCTGCTCAAGTCTAGGTTTAACCGTTATATTCCACACCCATCCACATAAACTGCGCCCCTTACTCTCTAACCCTCTACATCGAGTGGCTCAGGGCCTTGTACTATGTGAACTTTACTGTAAAAAATAAAAAAATAAATAAATATTAGGCGAAAGTAGAAAATCGTTTAATCCGATGAAAGTCCTAAATGTCGAAACGCTTTACACGAAAACATTTTTCCACATTTTTAACATTGTTCTTCATTTTTTAAAAATTATGTGCATGTGTGGGCGCGTCTGTGTGTGCATGCGTGCGTATGCGTGTGCGCACCAGTGTGTGTTTGTGCGCGCGCGCATGCGTGAGTAAATGTGCGCGCCCGCCCACATGTGTGTGTATTTACGTATTTGTGTGTCTGTCTGTGTGTGTGTCTGTGTGTGTGCGCGTGTGTGTGTATGATAAACTGAAATGACGTAATAGGAAAATTTATTTTTGCAAAGTGTTTCGTACTTTCGTCAACTTCCTGAAAGACAAAATTTAGAGATTAATAAAAACCTGAATTTGTCCACAGAGAAAATCTATCGTTGAGCAAATAAATTAATGTGTTTAAAAATACCTTTTTAATGACTACAGAAGTTTTCTAATTTGGTATTTTCAGCTTATTATATTTATCTTTCGAATATATTCATTTGCCGCTGTTTTCATACAAACACACACACACACACACACACACACACACACACACACACACACACACACACACACACAGACACACACACGCTCTCTTTCTCTCTCACACACACGCACACACACGCGCTCTCTCTCTCACACACACACACACACTCTCTCTCTCTCTCTCTCTCTCTCTCACACACACACACATACATACACACATAGAGAAAGTTGGTCGTTTTTGCTCAACGGCTTATCAACATAACTATGGGTTATCTAATAGCGAATTTTGTACGCATTGCTTCTGAGATTAAAAAAAAAGATTTTAGCGATACAAGTCTTATAAATTAACCTATAGCTTGGGGTAGACGAAGTGGATTCTTACCTTTCCCAATGGTAATTTGTGCGTGAGTGAATATAATGAAGCCATCGGGAATAGAAACACGGACCCCCGATTTAAAATTCCGATCCAATTTCCATTACACCACCCACATATTCAAACTTACTGCATCTCGTATTTCCAAGCGATCACCTATCTAAGTACTGAACAGGCTCGACATTGCTTAACTTCAGTGATTGTACGAGAACCGGTGTTTCAATGTGATGTGGCTATAAGCTGAAAGCTGGAAATGAGAAAGAGAGAGGGCAATACATGCCATTTTTGCTTATCACTGAAACGTAATAGCATAAAAACTATAATTTGCAATATTTAGTCACATTTCTTACAAACTTTATATTTGATAATTTAAATTCTCACAAGATATTAAAGAGCATCCCTAAGACTTTGCCTACACACATTTGTAGCGTGCCAGGGTTATAACACAAAAATATAATTTTACACATAATGAGTTCAACTTACAAATTTTGACAAGTTCACCTCTCGACTGGTTCACACTCCCTACTTATTTTGAACAGAAGTAGAATTTTATCCCCTTGTTTTCTGTTTAGGATTTGTTTTCAGGTTCCTTCTAAAGTAGGGGTGGGCAAACGTTTCAGTGTAAGGGTCAGTGGTGTAGCTAGAGTAAACATCACCCGGGGCGGTCCGCTCAAATGTCACCCCAATGACCCCGATTCACCCTATGCTGAATGGTTAGCTGTAGCTAAATTTTCATACATGCTCTACCTCTACTTTACTCTACTGAGCGGTACGTTACTGTTTACATGTATGATCCAAGACAAAATCCAATACCACAAAATAATCAGTTCAAATCAAAAGCTGAAAACATTGCTATTTTTCCTACTCACAAATTTCCCGACAATTTATTAGAAAATTTCTGACGGGGGACAAAACTGTGGGGTCATAAATTATTTCTGGGGAGTCATATGCCCGCCTGCGAAACCCTGTGTCTCCACCACTGTTTTCAGACTATTTTTGGCATCTTAGCCTGGTTGAAAAATTTTGTTGGGGGTGACATTGTGTCACCTCTCCTGTGCTGGCACCCGGGGCGGTCCGCCCCCCTTAGCTACGCCACTGGTAAGGGTCACATTCAAAAAATTTAAATTTTATTGGGCCGCATAGTGTATTAACCCAAAATAAGTAAAATAGATAAAAAAAAGGATTTTAAAGAAAAAATGTAATTCATTTTTATCAATTAATATTTTAAAGTACTGTAGAAGATTCACATGAAATGCATTTATTTGAAAGATAAATTAACTCAGTTTAAAGTACTTTAAATAAAATATATTAATAAATATTTTTAAGTTGAAGATTTACATGAAACACATTTGAAAGACAAAATAACTTTGTTTTAAGAAAAAATATTTTTATTAATTAATATTATAAAGTAGAATACATATTTATTTGAAAAACAAATTAACTCTGCGTAAAGAAATAAAAAAACAATTCTTACTAACATTTTAAAATAGAGACTTCAAAGAAAACGCAAACTAAATTTAAAGAAAAAATAATTCAGATTTTAAACTAAAAAATTCACATGAAAGAGATTTGTTTGAAAACAAAGTAATTCAGTTTAAAGGAAAAATACATTGATATTTTGAAGTAGTAACTTCACATGAAACAGATTTATTTAAAAAACAAAATAACTCAGCAAGAGAAGAAGCTTAATGACTCAATGAAAATAATGTATCTGAATGCAGTCATTTACCAGCTTGCTAAAATTAGGCGTCAAATTCATTCTAATAATTACTTGGCGTTACTTGGTAATTTTTGACTTGGTAACATTTGACGGGCGCATGAATTTTTTGGGGGGCCGTAGTTTACCAATTCCTGGTCTAAAGACTCTTCAATTCTCTTTCATTCCCAGCAGGCACTTGAATCTTAGTGTCATTATCGGCTTGCTTGGGGTGAATAGACAACAAAAAAAGTTAACTATGTAGATTTTTGATACGGTAACTTCCATTAGGTTATCTTCATAATATGACGAAATATTTCCTTTCAAATTGTACATAATTAAACATAATAGTCATCAGCTTAAAAAAAAAGGATTAATATTTATACATATTGGGTTGGTGCATAATTATCAGGCGTTTTTTAAACAATATTTATTATGAAAAAAAGAAACAAAAGAAAAATTCAACAATAACATTTTAAATGAATATTCCGGAACGTATGATTATCGAACCGCATGTTTATAACCTGAAAATGGAATATTTTTTTATTTAAAAAAAGTAAACAAAACAGCAATTTTTATTAATAAATAACTCGCCTACAAAAACACCTGATAATTATGCACCAACCCAATATATATATATATATATATATATATATATATATATTTTCGTTTGTACAACTGACTTTTTTTTAACAATATTGTTTTAAATAATACCTTCAACCACATGAATAATGAAATATGATTTGTCAAAACTGAACACTTTTTTTTTTATTTTGGAATAATTTAAAATCTTTATTATCACAAAATCTTCCACATCGCAAAAAATCACGTACTATAAAAAGATTTCCAATCAAATCAAACCCAGACAGCATATCGCCCCTATGCTAGATAAGACTAGGTATCACCTCTATACTAGATAAAATCTACGTTTCTGTCTTGTGATAATTTCCTTTTAAAGCAAGGGCTATTTTATCAAGTGTGGAACGTATCTTTAACTGCAATGCTAACATATACCGTGTTGCGCATAAATTAGGATACTTCTAACACATTTTTTACAGATAGTTATTGTACTTCTGGATGTGCTTGCCGTAACTGATATCAGCTCGGAATGAGAAATCGAAGAGCCGATTTCGAATTCGTGTCGGATTCGTTGCAAATACCCTTGGCAAAGGTATAAATCTATCTCTTCTCTCTCTAGCTATACGTTGAAATAGCAGGACAAACTTTGGTAACCAGTCTACCGCAGAGAGAAATGGCAAACGACTGCGGGAAAATCTTCGTCATGAATCAAATGAGAATTTATCGTCCAAGCCTGTGTCACGTATGGCAATTAACTGACTGATTGTCCTTTTCCGAGGTGTGTCTGAAAATTAACGGGACTTATGTATTATTAGGTGTGAGAAGCATCGTCCAGAGCGAGCTCTTGCTACTGGGACAGTCGATGCATCTGCAGCGTTTACTTTGTTCAGTGCCCGAGAAGAGACGAGGTTTGTGACAGGACAAATCGTGACTGCTTCACCTTGCTCTGAACATCGCCATACTGGAACAACGCCCTTATTCACCTGATCTAGTTCTGTACGTCTTTTCTGTCTTTTCTCCAAGCTCAACGTAATCATCAAGTGGACATGTTTTGAAGAAGTGGAAGCTATCAAAAGGGCCGTAACGACGGAGCTGAGGAACATCCAAGAAGAATCCTTCCTGCAGCGTATAGAAGTGTGGCAGAGAGCTGTCTGAAAAGTACAATATTTGATGTGACCGCCTTTCTTTTCTTTTCTTTTAAAGCTTGTAGTCTAGACAACAGTGACTTAAATATATTTTTCCACTCTGAAAGCGGGTATTATTTCAAATCTAACTTGTTGCATGATTGTTGTTTTACTTTACACTCCAGTGCATTCCACAAATAATAAAATGGTCTTACATTCGGTCAATAAAATAAGTTTACCTGTTGCTTCTGTAGAAACTCTGATGTTTTTTGCGGTGTGCTTCGAATCTTGCATTGAATCATTGTCGCTTCTTCGCGAGTTTTTGGGGTAAAGCTTGCTGTTGTAATGGAATGTCTCACACTCCCTATCGCCTATGTGGATTGACTATATCATTAGCTATAAATAGTGAACAAAGGATATACCTGGGGGTTTGCTTCGGGAATTACTGGCCTGCCACCCGATTCCCTGTCATTCAATAGTGTATTCTCTTTTACAATAAACATCCCTTCTTTCATGTACGCGCCTGTTGTTGTTCCTTCACTCGAATACCTTTGTCTGTTTGTAACATCTTTAAGGATACAACACTTACATATCTTATTTTAACATCCTGCTTGTACATCCAGTGAAGCCCAGAAGAATCACATTTATCTATCAATACATACATACATATATATATATATATATATATATATATATATATATATATATATATATATTATTCCAGGATCATTTTCCAACTTATTTAACATGATCTCCGCCCTCTCTAACCTTTAACGTTCAGTCCTGGAATAACAACTTGCCTCACAGTTTTCACGTACGATTTCATTTTCAGGTCTTTTTTTTTTCATTACTATTTGGACTGTCATAGCTGAAAATCCTCTCTCGCGTGCTAATCGTCTGTTAGATTGAGTTGGATCTTTTCTAATTGATCTCTTTAGTTCTAAGTTGAAATGATGATCCCTCTTCCCGCTGTAGCCTCCTGATCTTTAAGGATACAACACTTACATATTTTCTTTTAACATATTTCAGTAACTGTTAGTGATCTTCATACCGTCAATGTAATACAGCTCACGAACGCCGACAATCCAAGCCTATGACGTTTCCAACAACATTCTTAAGTTTTGATACCAAAATCTTTTGTTTCTACGCTTCATCGTGACGAAACCAAACTCATTGCCTAATATCAAATCAAAATAGATAATATCTTTTATTCTATATTAGTAAACAGTTCGTTAAAAACAAAGAAAAAAGTGTTGGGCTGTTATATATCGGTCCTCCTATATGGCTGTTAATGATGGACAATCACTCTACAGTTGAATAAGAGACTTAAGGCAACAGAAATGTGGTTCTACAGAAGGATGATGAGAATTTTATAGACTGAACGTGTGAGCAACGAGGGCATTTTAAGGTAATTGAGACAAAAATTATGCTTCTACTTAGAATCATAAAGAAACAGTTGACATTTCTCGGACACAAGGAAACAGAGGTTCGAGGATTAACAGGCACAGAGCACAGTGAAGGAAAGGAAGAGAAGGAAGCAACAAGTCACTTATCTAGAAAGCTTATGTAAAGGGATGGCTTTGTTTTCCACTGGACAGCCTCTTTCTCCCATGCATCGTAGCAAGCCTATCGCTACACTATCGCTATTTCCATGGCAAATGTTTACATGAGCTCGACTCATTAGTTCCGCCAGTTCAGATTTTATGGCTAGGACGCACCAGTTTACACCCACATTTACTCCGTATTCCATTAATAAGGATGAAGTTTCAATCAGACAGATTTATTTCGGAGAATTTCTGCATGTATGTTTCCCTTATCATTACATTCTTAACTTT